TTCCTAGACCTATTGCATCAAATGACATAGACGACCAGACATGTTATATGCGGTCAGACCACAACGAAGGAATATTAGAATGAGGGATTATAACATTTAATTTGAAATTGTAAGCAATTAAAAGTATTATTAAATTTAATAAGAAGTTAGGTAATTTTATGAATAGTTTGAGGGAAAATGTATGATATTGTTATCTTAGTTGCTAAATTTTCACAAATTCTTGTTAATGAATGAAGTATATCTCAAAATTGACATATTATGATAGAATTTAATTTATTTAGTGTTAATGGTACTAGAAAATAACAAGTTACGTCAAAATGCATCAAAAATGATAGAATTTAATATTTTATATGCTAACATGTATTATGACCTATATGTCAACATTTTTATCTCTTATGGACCTAATATCGTGTTATGTTTGTAATGACAGATGTTTATAACTCATGGAGGACGATTATGACCCACTAGTAGAGGATTTGGAGGATGATGTGATGGCTACGAGGATGAGGATGAGGACAAGGACGAGCCATATGATGTCAACAAGGTGTTGGGGTTTGGTGAGTCCGACTCACCGCGGAAACAAACCCAAATACAAGACCGCACTCGCAATAAATAAAACCATAAACATAATTAAATTAATCACAAGATTAAGATAAGCTAATTACCTTTGACGGGTGCTTCGCTCCAAAATGAGCTCTTACTTGAAAGCTTCAAGTCCCGCTCACACGGAGACCTCCAACGAAGTTCACCCGCACCAACAAAACCGACTAGGTCCAATGTCTTGGGGTTAGCAAAACCCGACCAATAAAACCCGAGTAATTATATTGAGTTCAAAGGTTTTCACTAATTGTGATGCCTTTTTCAACTCTTACTTAAGCAACATTCCCAATGCCCATATTGGGTATTTATAGGAAATGATGGGAGTATCATTTACTCTCCCATCAATGTGGGATAGTATGATTTTTCCATTTTATTTTAAAGCTAAAATAAAATTAATAATCAAGCTAGTAATAAATCAACAAGTGGCAAGCTCATGTGAGTGGTTAGGTGAGGACCACTTGGAGAAGGGGGGGACCAAACTTGCTCCCCACTCCTTCTCCCATAACCGGCCACCTCACTCCACACACACTCAAGGACCACTAGCCACATGGCACCCACCCTTGGGCACCAAGGCAGCCAAGGTGGGCTGCCATGTGCTGTTGTCCGTGGCAGCCACGCCCAGCAAGCCCAGCAGGCCCAGCACTCGCATGCGGGCTGCCAGGCGCTGCTGGCCAGCAAGCCCAGCATGCTTGTGTGGGCTGCTGCTGGCCTTGTGCCTTGGCCAGCGCTGCTAGGCAGCAAGCAATGGCCTAGCCATGCTGCTGCTAGCTGTGGCGAGCTGGCGCGCCTAGCGTGCTAGCTGCTGCATCTTGTTGCGGCATGGCTTGCTAGCCATTGCGCGCACAAGGCTGTGCCTCGAATGCTAGCACGCACTAGGCAGCGCCTAGCCTTGCGATGCTAGCATGGGTGCGCTAGCACGCACCAGCCAGCCTAGGCTCGGCTTGGTGCGCATGCTAGCCACCATGCTAGGCCATACACCCTTAGCACTCGGTTTGCTTGGGCATTCCGATGCTAGGGGTATTTTGGTCTTTTGTTGATTTATTACTATTTCTCGTCTCGTCTTTCACTATTTTTCGACTCGACTTCCGACGCTCGGTTTCGACGCTCTAAGCTCGAATTTCCGACGTCTAAATAAATATTACTCGGTCGACTCATTAATTCCTTCCGAATTAATTCTTCGGTTCGGTTTGTTGAATGCTTGGGTGTGATCCAAAGGGTTCAGTCAAGATTAAGCTGTAATATTAATTATTCATTAATATTACTGATCGGAAGCGGCCTCCACCCAGGCATTCCGATCACTTGACCTCACTGAATATATTAGCTTTCTAATAATTCTGAACCCACTAACGGAATAGTACACTTGTTCGAAGGACACCATTCCTTTCACAAGGAGACTGATTTGGGTGAGCCAGAAGATCAGGAACAAGATGCTTTTGAGCGCAGGCTTGATGATTTGAAATTTTAGCTGAATGTGCGCCTGCTATTGATTCTACAATTGTTGTGATTGTTGGTGAGAACACTACTCCTCAAACTCAAAGCCAAGGACAGGAGCAATTGAACACAGGTGGTGGAGTGGGGGTAAAGGCACCAGCTAAGAGAAAGGGTAGGGGTCCGACAACAAGTTTTAAGAAGCCAACCGGTCCCATAGTGTTGGAGTATGACAAAAGAGGCCGACCTACTGGCCAATGGATTCGGGAATATGCAAACCAAGTTGGCATATGTTCGCGCAAAATCCCCATTACACTTTGTTGGAAGCAAGTACCTCCAGGATTGATTCAAACATTTTGGGATGATACCAGGGCAAGTGTTTTGTTCAAATGCACATTTACATGTATTACAAATAATTTCACCTAATGTTTGTTTGTAAATGGAAAATAATAATTGCTTGTATCTGTGATTGCGGAAGCTGTTTCGTATTCCTAATGATCCCCAGAAGAGAAGGGTGTTTGATTCTTTACTAGCGGAGAGATTCAAAGGCTTCAAGATCCACTTGACGAGTGGATGGATCTATAAGAAAAAGAAACACAAGAAGAAAGCTTCCAAGGGAAATGATGGTGAAGGTGGAAATGAGGAAGATGTTGAGGAACAAGACCCACCGTGGAAAAAATGGCCAAGCGTGACGGAGGACGAGTGGAAAGACTTTGTTATTAAAAAAACTCGACCCAAAGCAATTGTAAGAACTACTAAATCTAATGAGAATTGTATAATATATTGACTCTTTTTGCAGTAATGATGCTAACATTACTATTTATGTAGGAAATTCGAGAGCAAAACAAGGCAAATTCATTGAAGAAGGAGTACCGCCATCATACGGGGGCCAAGACATTTGGTGAATGGAGGCAAACTTGGTAGAAGGAGGGTATATACCCCACTTTGACTCAAGGGTCATCCGAAGAACCCTCCAACTCCACGATCACTACGTTGGTTAGTCGTGCTGGCGATTTCATTTGTTCTCTACATTCCTTTGATATGGACACCGGAAAATGGGTCATCAAGGAACCGGAAAAAAAAGTGGCTGATAAACTTGTAAGCTATTTGAAACTTTAGCATAACTTTACCATACAAAAACATTATATGTATTCATGTTAACATTTTTTCTTATGCTACAACTTGAGTACACTACAGAAGTTGTTGAAGGCAAGCTGGTCCCGACTATAGAGAAAGAGCCCTTCACCTTGGCTTTAGGAAAGCCCTACCATCCAGGCCGGGTAGTAGGTATGGGAGGGACGTTTCTAGGATGGGAGAAGGTGATGGGTTCAGAATACACAAAAATGGGAAGATCTCGAGCAAGTGTTAACTCACCGGAAGAATTGGATGCCAAGGTGGCATCCATTAAGGAACAAGTTCGCAATGAGTTAATAGGTGAATTCAATGCTTGGGCGAAGCAAATGAACTTACCCTTGTCGTTCCCCTCGACTACACCGGTCGACTCCAATAGTCACCCAAAAGGACAAGGAGAAGATGAGAGACATGGAGAAGAGGAGATACATGAGGTAGTTTTCTATCTATTAGTTTTGGCCTAGCTAGTGAGTTACGTGAGATCTAATGTGGCATTATTGATTAATTATTGCAGGTTGTTACTCCCACACATGCGGACTCGAGGGAGGTTGATAATCCAACACCCCATGAATTTCCAGATTAAGAGGTGAATTTAGGATTCGAGGGAGCGTGTTTGGTTTTAACATAGTGAATTTCGTTACATGATCAATTGTGTAGGAAAAGACCCTTTTTGATAATTTCAGTTTTTACAAGTGAATTTCGTTACTGGTGTAGGTAGAGACTGAGTGTACACTTCTAGCCCCGGGTCTATCAAATGGAGGAGAGTTGCAGTTGGTGGCGTATGGTAGTGCACAAGCGACGACTGGTGATACGGTCCATTTCCAATCGCTTAGGCCACAACATTACTCGGTCGGGATCAATTCTTACATTGCTGGGATTGAAAACATCCCACTACCGGTGCCTATAGTGGATGATGGGATTACTCTTCTTTGGGAAGCAAAGGGTAGCTATGTGCAATGGCCACGTGCTTGAGTGAGGTTGATCAACGAGGTAATATTTATTTTGATGTTGTGCAAAATAACAAATCTGCATGCGTACTTACTAGCTTAAACCCCGGCCAAAAATTTTTGAACTCTAATTATCTTTGTTTTGATCAGATTTCGAAAAAAAAGTCAACCATCAAAGAGAAGGAAGGTGGAGAAGCCTAAAAGCGTTGATAAACCTACAAAGAAGATGAGTTAACAAGGGTCGAAGAGTGAACAAGTGTCGAAAAAGAATTCTTCGAAAGGTTCAGCCATGCAACCTACTCCACTTGTTGGAGACAATGTCCTTCAATCGCTCACTAAGGATTTAACTTTTCTACACAATCGTTTTAGTCATTTGCCTAGTGACGATCCCATTGAAATTGCACTTCCTAAGGCAATGTTCCATTATGATGAGGATGCAAGTGCATGGTTAAACAAACAAGATGTGAAGGAATTTTTAAGAGGTTCAATGCTTAACATTTCTCTCATTCAAATATTCATGAGGTACGAGCACATGCCACTTAAATTAATTATGTTATTCATATTAGTGTTGTTTATCCTTCATATATATGTCAATTAATTTTTCATTGTAAATGCACGTAGAGCACTACGGGAGCACATAAGTGACACTGATTCCCCTAGTAAAGTTGGGTGGTTATGCCCCGAACAGACATCCGAGACTAGAATCTTACACAACTCCCCCGAGGTGATGTATTATGTTAATCATAGTATTAGGGAATCAATGCGTGCGGGAGACAAGTTCATATTCGCCCCATGTTATGAGGAGTATGTTTAACCATGTGTAATTCAATTCTTTCTACATTTGAATTATTTGTTGTACCCTAATTATTGATTTGTTCGTTTGTGTATTGTGAATTTATGTAGGTTTCATTGGTTCCTCATGGTGATTTGTCCTGCTAATAACACAATCTTTCACCTTGATTCAGCTCGATCAACAAAGAAGTACCTCGTGATGTATGTACTACAAAAGTAAATATAGCTACCTAGTGTTGATTATCTTAACCTAACTCATTTAGTAGTCAAACTAATCAAATTTGAATTTACTTTCCTATAGTATTATGAAGAAGATACATGGTCGTGCTCCACGGGGTCCTACATGGAAATCACCTATGGTAATGCCACATCATATTGTGATTATCTTAATAAACATTGCTAAAACAATTGTGGATTTTATGTGACGTTTGATTCATTTGATTTGTTCCTATGCTAGTGCCCACAAAAAGATAATGGAGTTGATTGTGGATTATACGTGATGAGATTCATGCTTGACATAGCGACTCATTGTACCAACACCATACATCTTGATGAGGTATGACCTTAAACTTAGTAAAATGCTCTTTTTCTGTGATTTCAAGGCTTAGCCACCTATAACTAAGTATAATTGACATGTTATGAGAAAGAACTTGGTCATTTGTTTAAAAATGTAGAAAATGGGCAAGTAGAAGTCATTTAGGCCTTATTTAGGCTAATTTGGATGAAAATGCGACCTTAAACTTAGTAAAATGCTCTTTTTCTGTGATTTCAAGGCTTAGCCACCTATAACTAAGTATAATTGACATGTTATGAGAAAGAACTTGGTCATTTGTTTAAAAATGTAGAAAATGGGCAAGTAGAAGTCAAATAGGCCTTATTTAGGCTATTTTGGATGAAAATGCGACCTTAAACTTAGTAAAATGCCCTTTTCTGTGATTTCAAGGCTTAGCCACCTATAACTAAGTATAATTGACATGTTATGAGAAAGAATTTGGTCATTTGTTTAAAAATGTAGAAAATGGGCAAGTAGAAGTCTTTTAGGCCTTCTTTTTGACCGTTTTGACCTAAGTATTTAATTTTTTACATATTTATTACTCACATGTTTAACTTAACTAATTAATTTAATTTATTCTAACATAATTTATATATATTCTAAGTTTTGCAAGGTGCAAAAGGGAGATGCGTTAACAAGCAAGGATCTTAATTAAGTTCGAGACATGTTGGCATCTTTCATCACCTTCAATTTGTAAATGTGGCATCATTTTGAATTTATACTTTGTTAATTATTAACTTTTAGACTACAATATTGACTAGTTATTAGTATTGTTTGTATTTATGTATATATCACACTTTATTTGTTGTATTGCATTTGGTTTTTAATTATAAAAGTCTAAATATATATTTTTAATTCTTGTTATGATTATTAATAATAATTATATTATGACAGAATTTATAGCAATAATATGGCAGAATATTATAGCAGGATCAGTTGCAGGAATAATTGCAGGCAAAAAAAAAAAAAAAAAAAAATTAGATCCCTATTATTGCCACCGGTTTACCGGTTCAAACCGGTGGCAATAGTCAGCCTTCCCCTCCAAAAAAAAAACCGCGCCATTATTATTTCCACCGGTTAACCGGTGGCCATAATTATTATTACCACCGGTTAACCGGTGGCCATGAGGACTTTTGCCACCGATTTTGAACCGGTGGCCATGCGTTGCTGTATTGTCACCCCTCAAATGACCACCGGTTCAAAACCGGTGGCAATGGGGGGTTTTCAACCGGTGGCCATTACATATTTTCGCCTAGTGTTAGGTGGATCTTGGGTGGGGATTAGGCGGGTCTTTGGCGGGGATTAGGTGGGGATGGATATCCAAGTGGAGGTGGGGCGGGGATGGTTTTGGAGTTGTACCCGGTGGAGCGGGGATGGGGATGAAAATTGGACCCGCCGCGGGGATGAGGATGGGGATGGGGATGGGGATGGGAAGGCCAACATCCGCCCCGCCCCGCCCCATTGACATCCCCTAACAATAATGTTTTCATTGATTTCTTGGTTTTTATATTCTTTAAGTAATATGACTTGGTTTAATTTCAACCCCTTACCTCCATTCTACAAGGACCAATCATATAGTATATTCTTACTTCTTACTTCCTAGTTGTGAGATTAAATCTTGTCTAGTTTTTTTTTTTTGCTCTTTCAGCATAAAAAAGGTTCTAATTAGGGAAATTTTGGAATTATCTGTTAATTGCTTTAATTTCTTGATTAAAATTAGGAAAAATACTATACGTACCTTTGTTGCATGCATGGCTTAACCTAATTTGTTTACTCTTTGCTTGATATAAGGAAAAATAAATACATATTTGATCAAATATAAACTCTCTTCAAGATTAACAATTGCTCAACAAGCGCAATGGATAATAGTTTAATCTTCTTAGATTAAATAATAGAGGACATAAGGAGTATTTATAATTATATATATACTTTTAATTGATCATAGTAGTCATACTTATACCACAACTCTTGTAAATTTTCAAAACAATTTTCTATAATACGTAGTATATATTTTTTTCCTTTTAAAAAAAATTGAAAAACTGAAAATATAAAACCATAACAATGAGCCCTTAATAAGTAAGGCCACAAGAAATAACAAGATGTGGAATTTTTTTTGGGACAAAACACCACAAATTTGGCTCCTTTTCTATTTGTAAATTTATTAAAGTAAAACAATCTAGTGTTTAATTAATGGCCCATATAAAGGCCATTGGGCTTATACAAATCCTTAAAGTTAGTAGATCTAGATTTAGAGTTTCTGTGGCCCACATTAAAGCCCATCTGACTAAACTAATGGGCTTCTTTTGTGATTAGGTGCCTTCATTTCTGGCTAGTCTCAAGGGGAAAAAAACAAGTCGAAATTGATTTGGCTGGTTTTCTGTTTTTTGGTTTTTTGTTTTTTAAAAGTATAGGATATATGTCCCATAATGAATAAAAAATTATTTAAACATATTAAAATTATAGTAATTTTGAAAACTGACAACAGATAAGTGGAAACAGCTTTTTCTTGTTTCATGTTTTTGGTTTTTGGTTGTAAAAAAAAAAACAAGAAACTGAAAACAAAAAATGATGTCAAACAAGCCCTAAGTTAATTGATAAATGGCAAAAGCTAAGATAGTTTTAATTGAAATTAGTAAGATAGTATTAAATAAATGAAAATGATAAGGTGTTGAATTTATGAGATAATTGATTATATATGATGTTTGGTAGTTCTATGATTGAGTGTTTATTAGATAAATAAATATGATAGTTTCAATTAACATTTTATTTTATGATGATACTCACATTAACCTCAACTTAATTAATCCCTTTTTATATTCAAAGTGTATGTCAACACAATGGTAATTAATTAGGGTGCTTTGAATTATTAGAATCTTATCACTTTAAGTGTCTAAACTCTAAAGTAGATTGTCTCTTGTCAAAAAAAAAAAAAAAAAAAAAAAAGCCAAGTTATATTTCTTCATCCAATAGTACAATACTTCCAACTTCCAAGATGATTAGCACGGATAAGTTCGCTAGACTTGAAACAAAGATCTCATATAGATGATAAACTATAGAGCTGTATTTTTTTGCAAACAAAAAAAATTTAATAAAGATCAGAATAATTGTTAAGAAAATTTAATCAATTTCTGAATTTTATATAAAGGATATAATTGTTGTTATCCATACAAAGATATGATAACACGGGGTATCACCCGAGGTCAAAAACTAGTTTAACTAGTTTATACAATATTAAGAAAAAACACATCACATAAATTCGTGTTTAATTATAAACAAACCCAAAAAATAAAGACACAATAAAAACTTCAAAGTTCGAGCTTTTAATTTAAGCTCAATATAATCATACTGAAGAAACATTAGCATTGTTGTTCCGCTCATCCGTTACCTCTTCTTCTTGATTCTCATTAGCTGCCTCTTCTAACGACAAACCCTTAGCTTCAGGCACCAAGAAAGTAAACAACATACCAATGAAATTAATCACACCAAGAACAATCAACGAGTTCTTCTTTCCGATACCGGCCGGGTAGCCGGCATCCCTCTTTGCCGGGTCCTTCTCTTGGGAAGCGTACACGAATCCGAATGCTCCTACTATAGCCCCGGCTTTACCAGCCGCGGCAGATATACCATGACAAGTAGACCTCAACCTAGCCGGGAAGACCTCAGCGGGTACCACGAAAGTAGTGGCATTAGGCCCAAAGTTGGCAAAGAAGAAAGTAAGTCCGTACATAACAATGAACCCAATACGATGCTCCCTTTGACTCCAATAATTGTAAGGGAAGGCAATGGCAAACATGAAAATTGTCATCATTAGGAATCCCATAAGTTGGATGATCCATCGCCCTATGACATCGATTAGGGCGACAGTGAACCAGTATCCAGGGACGGTTCCACAGAGAGCGATCAAGGTTTGGGCTCGCGCCACCTTGTAGACCTCTCTAATAGCACTCATTTTGCTTGCTTTAGGGATCCAACCAATAGAGGTGAAAATATCTTTTTGGAAGAGATTTTGGCTGTAAAATGCAATGTCGAGTAAGAACCAGGTAGTGGTGGTTCCAATCAAACGTAGGCCGTAAATTCTTGCAAATTCCTTTGAGAATAAACCGAATTGTTGCTTCTTGTCTTTCACTATGTCTGCTAACCTATCTTCATCGGCACCAATATCTGTCTGTAGAACTTTAGACATGTCTGCTGCAGCTAGCTTAGCATTCTGCGCAACCAAGGCCGTGTACCTTTTGGACCAAAAAAAAAAAATTTATGATTGTTAAATTCGTCTCGAATTTTTTTATTTTAAATTTTTTACATAATAATTTTTAAAGTTACACATTGACTATATATATTTAATAAAACACTAAGACGAAGATACTACCTCCGTTACATATTATTTGCTATGATTTGATATAAAGTAGAGAGGAAAAATGTCTAATCGTTGCACATAATATGTAACGGAGGTAGTAAATAAAATGACAAAATGTTACCTAGCAGTCTCAGGCATTTGCATACGATAATAGTAAGTCGCACCAGCAGGGAAAGCACCAAACATCAAGATGACTCTCCAGATGTAATCGGCTTCCGGGGTAAGTGAACCAGCAGGATCTTCTTCAAAGCTAGGAGGCTTAAACCGGGCTTCAAAACCCGAAGACACAATAAGGGAAACAACACCACTTACTAGAATCCCAACACCTTGCATAGCAAAGACAGCCGCGATGAAGGCACCTCTAGTCTTTTTGTTAGCATACTCAGACATGATGGTAGCGGACAATGGGTAGTCCCCTCCAATACCAAACCCAAGCCAAAATCGGAAGAAGCAAAGAGTCGTCATGACACTCTTGGCGGTGTGCCCAAAGGAGAGGCCGGAAGCCAAGGAAGCGAAAACCATCATAACCAAAGTAAGACCGTAGACTTTTTTCCTTCCTAATTTGTCACCTAACCAACCGAAGAATAGTTGGCCGGCTAAGGTACCACACAAGGCCACACCATTAACCGCGGCAGAGACATTGATAGGGAGGGTGCCAGGGTGTGTAGGGTTCGGGTGAGTGTAATAGAGACGGCCTAACAATTTGGTGACCAGTGAAATGGAGAATAGATCGTAGGCATCCGTGAAGAAGCCCATACCGGCAATGATGATTGCCGTGAAATGGTACCATTGCGTCTTTGCTACATCTAGTGCATTTAGCACTTCCAATTGTTTTGCTTTCGCCATTAGTTCTTATTTTTGTATTTTATCTGCAAGTAAAAAAAAAAAAATTAATAAAAATCTTGTCAACCTATAATACGTAGAAATTAAAATTTGGAGCACTCCTATCATACTCGTAATTAATAATAAGTCTACATATTTAAGAACAAATTAAAATAGGATTTTTTTTTTAAAAAAAAAAACTTATACTCCGTAACGTAGTATTAAGTATTAAATTAGGTAACAGAACGATAAACGTAGTATATACTATAAGGTATTTTTTCATTTATTTACGTTATGATATAAAGTACTTTGTATACATAATGACAAGCTTAAAATACTAATTAAGAATTTAAGACCAACCTGATTATTAGTGAAAAGATGGGAAAATGGAGCTTGAGAAGCTCCTAATTAAAGTTAGAGAAAGAAAGGTGATTGAATTGTGGGAAATAACGGTGGAAGATGCTGTGTATATATATATGCATGATATATGCCAGCACAAGTTCATATTATGGAATTAATTAATTATTAGTTGTAGTATTTATTATAGCTTAATTAATTAATGTGTTAATATATATGCTGTACTGTCGTTTCTGAAAAGTCTTTTACATGTCCTTTTCTTATATTGGGGGCAAGCTTCTTTAGGCCGATCCACAGTTTTTATGGAGTATTTTTCTTATGTGTTAATATTTTTTTTTTTTTTTTTTTTTTTGCGGAATTAGTAAATATAATCAAATCAGGCCAAAGGGTATACATGAAATGACCATTTAAAATTTTGGTAAAGTTTTGTCACTATAGAATTGTGCACAAAAATTAAGGGATGAAGTTAGTATATGAAATCAAACTCTCAAATTGAAAACTAGGTACATCTCACAATTTTTTTTTTTTTTTGGTCCTCTTAATCTGAAAATAGTATAGTGTACCCGTGTTAATCTCTTATCATTAAATAAAAATTCAAAATTTGTTAACTTCATTCTAGTTTATAATAGGAAATTGAATGTCGATTGCTTATCATATCGTACTCCAAAATTAAGTTCCTTTTGTTAATGTCTTTCTCATCCCTTTGCACCTTTTTAATTAATAAACACTTTATATTCATAACTTTTGTATTCAACAATATAAATTATACTCTTGTACTTTATATATATAAAGGTTGATGAATTTGAATTTGTGGCCTATCATATACAAACAACCTTTAATATCACTCGAATATTGCGTAGCCTGGCCTAAAAATCAAGGATCAGTTCAGTTGATATGAAAACCATGCGATGAGTTTATGTGTCAATCCTTAATTTTATTTTATACTTCGTAATATAAGTTAAAGTACAATACTTAGCTTGTACTTATCGCCTCCCTACAACTTTGTCGATCATATTTGGGGTTTCGTTCTCTACGTTGACTTTTTTTTGGGGTTGGGTGGGTATCTCTATAAAAAGTCAAAAGGGCTACGTATCAAACTATCAATACCAAATTGTCTAAAAGCAGATGATGTAACCAAAAATGGAAACTTAATCATCATATTAATCACAAAAGGCCAAACTAATCAATATAATTAAATACTCTCTTATTCTTTGATAAATATTTGTTGATAGAAGTTTAGTACGGATACTTATTAGTAGTAGGTATTTATATTATCAATATTTAGCGTGTTCATTATGTCACCAATTAACTCAATGAATTAATATTTTGCAATCATCTCTATAGTCTTTCTTAAACACTATGTTAATACAAGTATGATATTTTTTTTTTTTTATAATTCGTAAGGGAAAAAAAACAATTTTGATTTCAAAATTTATGAACGAATACAAAAGATGTACAAGTACAAACCACAAATGTATGCAGGAATTGAAAATCGACATACTGAGTACAAATTAAAATCGACATTCAAATTATAGAAGTACTCCGATCCGTAATTCATCCGTATAAGTTATGGAGTACTCCATAAGTCTCTGAATTGCATGGCTGTAATATTAATTATGCCATGATGAACTTAATTGACGTGATTTGCCTCCAAAGTCAATACTTATTACACTTTAATATCGCCGATATTTTTAGTAGTCTAACGCAACATGTAAGCCAAGTAGGCAACTAGAACATGAAATTGTCACATTTCATAATTTTCTTGTCATTTATTTTAGTGTAACCAATTAATTGCAAGCTTAATTATGGGTTGTTGTAGCATGTTGCATGTAGAATTGTAGATCAGTCGATGTTAGCATATTTGCACGTTAACTAAACAACCAAGTAGGATAGCATCTGAGCATACATATCTGCTACTATGCGTATTACTTGTATAATTTACGCATAGTTTTACTATAACGTACAATACTTATTTTGTAGCTACTGTTTCGAGTGAAAACAATGGGACCTTGCCGAAGGTCCAATAAAGTGGATGAAGACTAGTCCGGTCCAAAAGATGCTGGGCCGAAGGTTTCCTGCACAGCAAGCACACGTAAAACTGGCCTCGGGGGTGGATCCGAGGAAGACCCCTCCGATGCCGAAGTCAAACAGTGTCTAGAGAGAGAAAGCTATGCAAGAGAAGTAATGCTTGAGACTTTAAATGTGAATGAATGATAAATGGTGCAATTGAAGGCTTTTATACCTTAGCTTGACAAGGAGGATGAATGGGCCAGACTTGTCATAGGCTGACCATGACAATTTGGGTCTCTTTGACTTTATGTTGACTTGGCTAAATGGAGGCTTGGGCCTTGACCTTGGAATATAGAATCATTTAGTGACCAGACCCAATTTGCATAATTGGACCCAAACAACTTGCCCCCCAGACCCGATTTGAAAGGATGACGGGTCGGGTTTGAGTTTAATAAAAATGGAGGGAAGTAAATGATTTAATTAAATCAAAGAATTTAAATTTTGAACAGTTATTAACTAAATATATAACTGTAATTAGGATAATTAGTGGGGAAGTTGAGTGGATAATGGGCGGTTAATTAAGAGAGAGAGTGTGTTTAACGGTTACTTAAGGAGGTATTTAAGAGAAATCAAGCATCTGACTCTCGACATTCCCATTTTCTGGAAATTTAAAGCCAAATTCGCTCTTCTCTCCTCATTTCTTCACTGATTCACTCTCGAAATCCCTGAGAAACCGTTGTTTCCGCTCCGAAACTTCACTCCACATCACGAAATCAAAGCTTGACGCTTGAACCCGTTGCTCCGACTGACTGAATCGGCGAGTTTCGATTCTCATAAAGGTAAATTTCTTCGAATTTCCCTTGATTTTCTTAGTTTTTCGAAAGAAATCCTCTTTTCTCGACTTCCTTTCTTGCGAATCCGTCAATGGCTCGTTTAATAGTTCGCCGGACTGGAAGACGAGGTCAGGCCAGGGACCCCAGAGACCGTGCTGATGTTTGGAATGGGTAACGTGCCCAGGAGGACCCAGAAAGGGGTATTCCGGCCGTCCCTTTGAACGCTGCCGCCCCTCAGCAAGGTGCCGAGGCTGGCGGCGCCGAACAGGAGGAAGTTCTGCCCCCTGTGCTTTGGGACTTGCTCCCTGGGCACGTTGAGTGGCAGAATGCCGAAGCCCAAAGTGCCATGAGGAAAAATGTCCCCTACTATTGGTGGGTTAGGCACGCCGAAGCTTATCGGTTTGCCGAACAAATAGAGTTGCACTATGGCATTTTTGAGGAAGATGGGTATTGGTGCCGAATGCCCGCGTCGACTGATAGAATTCATCGCCCTCCCCCTGGGTATGTGGGGGTATATACTCGGCAGCTGCAGTACGGGCTTCGGTTCCCCTTAGATCCCTTCGTCGGGGACATTTTATTAAAGTACAGGATTTCCCTGTGCCAGTTGACGCCCGTCAGCATTCGGCGGGTAATGATTTATCTCTTGGTGTGTCGGTTTTTATGCTGTTGAGCCGAGTTTACATTGTTTCCGAAATATGCACAAGCTAGTGCAGAACACCCAGAGCATATATGGTCACCACGGGCCTGGCTGGTGGCGAATTGAGAGTCACCCACAGTATCTAACCATGTGGCCGAACGATTCTTCGGACAAGGGCTCCAGCAGATCCAGAGCACCCCTACTTTTTTGGGCCCCCCCGCTATCTCTCCAGGCCTGATCCGAACATGTAGGACTTGGGTCCTGAAGATCCTGATGCTGCTTGGCATCCTAGTTATGAGCAGATGGAGTTCTTCGGCAAGCAGAAGAATCCTGGGGGGGCTGGCCGAATGAAGTTCATCCCGACGAGATGGCTTCCAGACAACCATTACGTCTTCCTAGAGAAGATGTTGGCAGTTGTCGGCCTCAGCCGAAAGCATAGAGGCGGTAAGTACCTTTGGCTGGGGCCGAGGACTTTCTTTATTTATTTTATTATCGCTTTATTCGTTTTGTCTATTCCTTAGGGCTAACCTTCCCTTTTTCTTTTCAGAGCTGAGCGAGGCCACCTCCGGAATTGACTACGATCGGCTGGGAGTGAATGCTGAAAGGGTCATCTTAGACCGAGCTCCAGCGATCACTGCCCCGAAGGACCGTCCGCTGCACTTACATTCAACGGGCCTTCAGCTCGAGGCTGCTGGAGATTATCTGAAGCAGAAGCCTTGGTGGGAGAAGCAGGATCCTTTGAGGCCTCTGCTACCCGAAGAAGTGCGTGCCGCTCAAACTGCCGCGGACGTGACCAGAGCAATCCACTCCCTAGAAAGGGGTGAAGGGACTTCTGGTACTGCCGAGGCTCAGCCGAGGACTTTGGTAAGGCTTTACGCACTTTGTTTTTTTTTTTTTTTTTTTTCTACTGATCCCCTCTTGCTCCCCCACTTCTGCAGTCTGAGGAGGAGGGCAGAAGGAGAGAGGAAAAGGCTCCACAGTCGTCAGACGATCTTTCTAAACTTGAGTCCTCGGATTCTGACGACATGGACGATCAACCTCTGGAGCAGCGGAAGAGAAGAAGGACGGGCCCAGCTGTAGTGGGTCCGGGAGATTTCACGCTGAGGCCAATGCCTGGCGTTGTAATAAGGGAGCCTGCCGCTGGCCGAGGCAGGGTTCCCAGAGGTACGGGGGGTCCTCCACTCCTGACTCAGCCACCGCCGCCAATTCCATCACCGCCGAGGACCCCTCCACCACCTCCTCCTGCTGATGACATGGAGGTGGACCAGCGAACTCCTGACCCAAAGGAGGGGTTCCCGAGGCGGTTTCTAACAAGGGGAGCGCTGCTGAGCTCCCTGAGGTCGAGGTTGTTGAGGTAGCCGAAGAGGCGGATACTGCTGAAGACGAGGCCCCTAGGGGCTTTACTGCTGAGATCCAGCGAGAGGTTGGCGCCTTGACAAGTCAGCCTCTCGGGGAAGCTGAAAGGGTCCAGACTGGAGGGGACCATGCTGAAGGAGGGGCAACGACTGAGCCCGAAAAAATGGACGAGGTCCCATCAACCTCGTTCCCCTCTTTCAAGTCTTTCCAGTCTGGGGACATGGGGTTCTCAGCCAAGAAGTGCTCTATCCCAGCTGGCGTTAGGGCCG